GAGGAGCGTGAGAAGTCAATCAACAGCCCCACACTCAAAGGACAGAATGGCAGGTGCTCAAGGTGTGTATCATTAAAACAATTCCCTGCTAACCACTGGTCCCAACTGAGCTGGATATGTAATAATAACTGTATGGGATTCTTATCCTCATTTTATAGGTGAAGAAACTGAGGACCAGGATACCAGCAGGTAAGTGGTGAAGCCAAGATTCAAAACCAGCCAGTCTGGTCGGAAGCCTATGTCTCACTCTCTATGCCAGCAACGTCCAGTCGAACTTCCTGTGGTGATGGAGATGTTCTCCATCTGCTCTGTCCAATGTAGCAGACACTAACTAGCATATGGGTATAATGAGCACTTGAAATGTGTCTAGTGCAACTGGAAAACTGAATTTTTAAATTAAATTAAATTTTTGTTAAATATCAGTGGCCACCTATGGCCAGTGGCCACCATATGGGGCAGCACAGCTCTGTGCTGTCCTTACTTTAACACGTGGCTTCTTAGCGTCTTGGCTGTTTTATTTCTTTGCCTTGACCCTTCCCAGCCATTGATGTCTTCTGAAGTGCAAGCCCCGATTCAGATGTCTCTTGATTCCAATTCTTTATGTTGACTGGGGAACGGGAGGGGTGGGCCTCTGTCAGCCTCGGCAATGGCTAAGTGGCATCAGCTGTTCCTCAGGGCAGGGGAGTGTCACCTTTAGGAGCAAAAGCTTCACAGCAGGACAGGACGGCTCCCTCCCTCCTTGACAGCGTGACTGGAGGCAAATCACTGCACCTCTCTGAACCTTGGCTTCCTCCTCTGTAAAGTGGGATGAAAAGTGCCTGGTGTTGGGGCGGGGGGGCGTGCGATATAGCTCAGTGGTAGAGCAAGTGCTTAGCATGCTTAAGGTTCTGGGTTCAATCCCCAGTACCTTCATTTAAAAGTAAATAAATAAAAACCTAATTACCTCCCTCACAAAAACAAATAAATGAACTAAAAAAAAATGTGGGAAATCAATAAGACATCTCAAAACAAAAAAAAAAAAAGGGAAAGGGAAAAACAGTGCCTGGTGTTAAACAGTAAATGCTGGAGAGGGTGAGGAGCCGAGGGAACCCTCTTACACTGCTGGTAGAAATGTAGTTTGGTGCAGCCACTATGAAAAACAGTATGAAGATTCCTTAAAAAACTAAAAACATACTTACCGTATGATCCAGCAATACCACTCCTGGGCATATATCCAGAGAGAACTCTCATTCGAAAAGATACATGCACCTCAATGTTTATATCAGCACTATTTACAACAGCCAGGACATGGAAACAGCCTAAGTGCATATCAAAGGGGAATGGATAAAGAAGATGTTATATATGTATATATATATATATATATATATATATATATATATATATACACACACACACATACATACACACTAGAATATTACTCAGCCTTAAAACAGAATGAAATAATACCATTTGCAGCAACATAGACCTAGAGATGATCATACTAAGTGAAGTAAGTCAAAGAGAGAAAGACCAATATGTGATATCATTTATATGTGGAATTTTTAAAAGTGACACAAATGAACTTATTTACAAAACAGAAAGAGACTCACAGACATAGAAAACAAACTTATGGTTACCAAAGGTGGAAGGGGGATGGATAAATTAGGAGTTTGGGATTAGCAGATACAAACTGCTATATTTAAAACAGACCAACAGCAAGGTCCTACTGTATAACAGCACATGGAACTACATTCAATATCTTGTAATGACCTACAATGAAAAAGAACGTATATGTTCTTTTCGCTATGAATCGCTATGCTGTACACCAGAAACTAACACAACATTGTAAATCAACTATACATCAATTAAAAAAATTAAGTGCCTAGTGTTGTGAGGATTTCGTGAGCTGGTAGCTGCTAAGCACCTAGCTCTCTGCTTGGACCAGAGTAACTGCTCCGTAAATGTCCTTCTAATTCAGTCCAACCCTCGGAGTAACCCTCCCCTTCAGACCAAAGGAACAGCAGGAGAAAAAATGGGGGTGGGGATGGAGAGGGAGAAAAGGCTCTTTCAAAAACGAAAAAGCTTAGTGAGAAAATTCTCAGTTGTACATGCAAACAGAGAGAATGGTTTAACAACCTCCCCCTTACTTCTATCAGCCAGCTTTTAGAAATTATTAACCAGAGTAAAGGTTTTAGTATCTTCATTAAGCCAAAGATATCCATCCTTAGGAGGGTGAAGAACAAACTTGCAGTGGCTCCAACCAAATGGCCACAAACACATGTTCGGAATCCTCTGAGCAGCCCTGGTGGGTCCCAACAGCCGGAGACTGCTCAGGGTCATGCTCAGACAGCTGTCATTTGTGCCACAAATGATATCTTCCCCAGCCTGAAAACAATGGTGTCCCCTACATGGATGTGGCTCTCATGTGTCCCTGGCCATAGGTTCCATCTGCCTGGGTCCCCCCAACCATGTGTCTTCCAGTGCCTGCAAGATTTTGGAAGACCCCCAAATCCTACCTAAAATGTTCTTTAGATTAGCAAGAGGCAGCTTTTAATTTCTTGCAAACCAGATCCCTAAATGATGCTCTAGAAAGGCTACAGGTGCCATCTTAAAGGAGCTGGTACCGCTCACCCCCTGAGGTCCAAATAACCCATTCTTTTAGGAGACAGGCAAAAGAGATCTTATCTAGGGAAAATACCCAGGGATTCTGGCCTTCTGGCCTTCTGGAAAATGACTGAACTATATTCTAACTATAAAAATCAATCTCAAGATCCCAGTAGGTCTGGGGAATAAGCAGTGTGGAAAAGGGAAAAAAGAAATTAATTGGGTGGAGGGGTGCTAACATTTGCTGGGCACCTAATCTATGCTGAGTGCCCCTCCAGGCTTTCACTGAATCCTCACAGGAACAGATCTGTTAGGTAGATACTTATACCCCCTTTTCACAGAGGATGAAACTGAGGCTCAAAAGGGGAAGCCACTTGCCCAAGATGGAACTGAGGTCTGGCTCACTCTTAAACTCATGTTCTTTCTTAACCACTGTCCTACAATGTGCCACCTTGGACCAGTCCTTCCTCTCTCTCTGAGCCTGTTTCTCTCCCTGATGTGAGAACAGCAAGGCCTGCCTGGCTCATAAAGCTGTCAGAAGAATCTAGACTCATAAAGGATGTGAAGGGCTTTGAAAGGTGTCCAGGACCCAGCTGGGGACTTGTTGTTCTCAAGGCCGGCAACCTGGCAGCTCTGGAAGAAGATCCAAGGCCCAATTGACGGGTCCTGGGTGCGACTGGGGCATGAAGGGACAGAGGAAAACCACAAGGTCCCCTCAGGTTCCCACAGGAGGCAGAGGGAGTGGGAGCTGCAGGGGGTGCCTTGGGGTGTTGCTGTTTTTGGTGACTGCTCAGCTGACAGTTTTCCAAGCTGAGAAACTCACATAACAAACTCTAACCTCCTCTGGCTTAAAATAGAGCCGCCGAACCGAAAATGCCAAGCACAGGGTAGAGTCACCTGCCTGGCAGGACCAGACAGCCCCCCCATGGTCCCAATAATATGCACCCTCAGCAGGCCCACTTCACAAAACACCTCTCTGCCGCATCTCAGGATGCTCGCAACGGTGGGGGTGGGGAGCCAGCCACCGCTCCTCGGAAAGAAGGAAAGTCAGGTCCAGAGATGCCACAGGAGGGTGATAAAGCCCCCAGCATCTTACCTGATTAGGTGGTGCCATGTATCGGAAGGATGGTGGCCTTGGGGGCCAGACAGCCCTGAGTTCAAGTCTTGACTCAGTCACTGCCTGCTGTGAGGACTTGGCAAATGGGGTCTTTTCTCTGCACCTCAGCTTCCTGCACTGGAAACTGAAGGCTCCCTTAGCAACGTCTATGAATATACCTCGTCCACTGTCTTAGCCTTGCCCCTGCTTCTGGAAAAAGAATGCTTGACATCTGTAGTCATACAGAAGGAGAAAAAGTGGCTACCTGTTACCAAATACCTGGATAGTGACATCCATTTCTCAGATGGGAAAACCAAGGCACAGAGAAGTGCAAGTCTTCTATCCAAAGATAGACACCCCGCTAGGAAGTGGATGAGCTGGAATTTAAACCCAAGCCTTGTTGATCCCAGCTATGTTCATGATCAGGACTCATTAACTGTCCCCATGGTGGACCCGGCCCTTCCCCTAAGACTCAGCCTCCCTCCCATCCTGTCCCCACAAGTTCTTCTCAGATCCTCCTTGGGCTATAAGTCCTTGGTGCAGCCCCCAACCCCACTCTGAGACTATAGTCCAGGTTTCTGTTCCTCTGAAGGAATCAGAGAATCAAACTTGCTCATGCCGTCCCTAAGATAAGGCTGAGACAGCAGCGTCCTTGCTTCTGGTCCACTGAGCTGCTCCGCCTCCAGCTTCTCAGGGGAAGGAGGGGTCCAAGGCCCCCCTACCAGGGGCCCGATTCTCCCCAAGAACTGAGTCAGGGGAGGTGATGAGTCTAAACATCCCTGTGGACCCGGGCCTTTGCCTTGCTGTGGTATTTGCAATTTTGGCGGACATTTCTGGTGAGTTCTCAGGGCCAGACGCTGTCCTTAGGGCAGCACATCTGGCAGCTCATTTAATCCTCACAACCTCTGCAACAGTGCCCTGTTGCGGCTGGAAAAAACTATCACAAACTTAGCGGCCTGAACAACACAAAATTGTCACCTTCTGGGTCTGTAGGATGGATATCTCCTTCACAGGTTTCAGGGATAGGATGTGGGCATCTTTAGAGGGGCCGCTATTCCACTGACCACAGCACTTTATGAGATTGGAACTTTTCTAACCCTGTTTTACTGGTGGGCAGTAGGCAAAAGAAGTGGGATATACAACCACGCAGTGGGGGTGCAGAGTCCATGCTCTTAACTTCTATGTGCTGCTGCTGCTGCTTGTTCATCCACAGACTGTCCCTGGATGTGTGCTGTGTGCCGGATCCGGGTACTATGGACAGAGAGGTGACCAAGATGGGATCTCTGTCCTCAGGGAGGACAGATATGGAAGGTGAATTACAATGCAGCGGAAGGAATGTGAGATGGCAGGAGCCCAGCAGCCTCTGGGAGTACAGAGGAGAAACACCTGAGAAGTCAGGAAGGCTGTCCAACTAAGTGGAGAGTCTGAAGGATGAATAGGGCATTAGCCAGCTGCCCCTACCACACAAGGAGGTTGTGAGAATTAAATGCATTAATACCCATCAAGTGCTTCAGCTGACGCCTGGCCTCTGGTAGGCATTCACTGAATGATGGGCTTGGGAGAGGACTGTTCCAAGCAAAGCAAGAGTTTGCGCAAGGAGTGAAAAGTTTAGTGTAGCTGGAGCCAAAAAGTGCAAAGGGGCTGCAGGGAGAGGGGTTGGAGGAGTCACAGGGGGACAAGTGATACATGCCAAGGCTGCAGCAGAGATGTGGGACGGTGGGGGCTCCAGATAGCTGCAGGAGAGACCCATTAGCAAGTCCTGTTGCTCTGCCCATCTGGGTAACACTAGCTGCAGGAACAGGCTGACCCACATGTCTGGGGCTTAATGCCACCAAAGTTCATAACAGGTGTTCCTGCTGGGGGACCCTTGGCAAGGTGTCATTCAGGCACTCTAGCTCCTCATTCCACGGCTCTGCTTTCTCCTAAAGACTTCAGGTCTCCATATTCAGTCTGCAGTTGGGGGAGAGAGGTGAGGCATGGCATGTGGGAGGGTTTCATTAGCCAGGCCTGGAAGTGGCACATGTCACTATGCCTTTATTCCATTGGCTACAGCTCCGTCACATGGACACGCCTAAGTGCCTGGGAGGCTGGGAAATGTGGCTACTGGCGTGCACCCGGCACCACCTCCCTGACGTCTTAGGTCCACCAACTTGTCTCCATCTCTGGGGCGGTGCCCCTGGTCCAGGCCACCCTCAGCATTTGGATGACAAGATTCTCCTAACTGGCCTCCACTTGGCCACCATCCCTTTTCCACTTGACAGCCAGAATGCTCTTTTTAACAAGCGTCAATCAGATCATCGGTGTTTGTTTTACTGCTCACAGCCTTTCCAGGGCTATCTAACATACTGACGAATAAGCCTTCCTGAGGGCCTGTAAAACCCCGTGGGAAGTAGACTCTCTGTCTTCCTTCCACTTCCTTCCTTCCCTCCCCCGATGCCCCCCAGCACCCTAGTTATTGTGACTCCAGACAACACTGGCTTCTCTGCTTAAAGGACTTGCACTTGCTGCCTGGACTCCCGCTCCAGTCACTCCCCAGGGAGGCTTTCTCCCACCACCTTAGCTGATGCCACCCCCACCCCCCGCCGTCCCAAGAAAAGATGTTTTCCTTCTTTATACCACTTGTCTTAAATCATCTTTTTGTTTGTTTGCATTTTAGCCAACCCTCTGTCCTAGGATATCAGTTCTCTTTACACTAGGAATTTTGTTTGCATCAGTAGGTTCTTGGTAAATATTTGTTTAATGACAGACGGAAGGAATGACTTGCCCAAGGTTACAGGACAACATAGTGGTGGAGATGCGACTCCTGCAGACCTGGGCTTTGGACGCTTTGCTCCAGATGTCACTATTTGCAGACACATTAGCCCCAGGGTAAACAAAGGCAGCTGTGCGGAAGGAGGCAGGGAGGAGCCCTCTCTGCCCTCCTCGCCCCGCC